TACTTTTATTTTAAAATAATTTTGGAGCTCCAGATGAAAATTTTTCTTTTTTAAGTATAATTCTTTATCGGAATTTTTTTTTCACCACATGAGACCAAATCTTGATTTTGCATCTGGACTCCGGAATCTTCAAAACCAACTGAAATACAGAAACAAGAATTTGTGAGACTTCCTGTTGTGATTTCAAAAGGCGAAAAAGCAGATCTTGAAGCAGGACTTTATTTTTTCTTGCTGAATTTATGGATACTGAAGTTGTTAAAACAAAAAGAAAAACGAGTCTCTAGAAATTACATGGTCCTTTTTATTTTTCAAGCATTTCAGTGTTTGAAACTTTCCTGCTTTATCTTACAGAATGCTCTACATCGGAATTGCTTTTTTACATTCCTGGATTAAATGTTAATGGTCTCACTGAAGATGATATTCGTGACTTTCCTCAAGAGAGTCGTCATTTTGCTAATGATAATTTGGCTGAGCTGTTGGAATCTGTCAACATCAATAGTTCAGCTAATTCTTCAGTGATGGTCGAAGGTGACTCTGTAATAACAAAAGAATCATGTAATGAGTCGGAAACTGAAGAAGTGGATGCAGAATTTGAGGCAAGATTTTTTGAATTTCCATTGAGCTGTTCGTAGAAAAATTGCACTCACTTTATAGCTGCATCGGTCTAGTAACTCCATACTGCAGCGCAAACTTGCTAAATACTAATATAAAGTCTTTTTTTTATTTTTTGAAGTTCTTCATAACTTTCCAGTGCAGTTCGGTGTAATCCTTGTTTTGTTTTCTGTCGCCAAAATCTGAGGGATTTGTTTTGCAATTTATAGTAATATAACTGATAATTATTATTTTATACTCTTTAGACAGACCTATTTTTATGCTATACTGAAAAGAATGACTTTTTTTTACAATTCTTTTCTTCCTTCTTCCTTCTTCCTTTTTCTTTTTTGTTTTTTATTTAATCTCACAATTTATATGCTCAGTATTGCTACTGAATTGTGATGATAAGGGAAGTTTTGTAAAAATGATAAAAAGTCAAATTTGAGCAACAAT